CTGTTTATTGCTGTAAGTGGGGCATTGAAGTCCCCTACTCTTATGGTATTATTATCAATGAGTTTCTTTATGGTTGTGATTAATTGGTTTCTATATTTGGGTGCTTTCATGATGGAGGCATAAACGTTTACAATCGTTAGGTCTTCTTCGTGGATAGACCCCTTAATTATTATATAATGCCCTCCTTCATCTCTTGTTGCTGTCTTTATTTTGAAATCTAGATTGTCTGATATAAGGATGGCTACTCTGGCTTTCTTTTGGAGACCATTAGCATGATAGATGGTTCTCCATCCCCTTACTTTCTATCTGAAGGTTACTTTAGGTCTAAAATAGGTCTCTTGCAAACAGCATAAAGATTGATCTTGTTTTCTTATCCATTCTGTTACCCTATGTCTTTTGATTGGAACATTTAGTCCACTGACATTTAGAGTGAGTACTGAAATTTATGAATTTATTGCCATTTTGTTGTCTGTAGAGTTTGAGTTTCTGGGGATGTTCTTTGGTCCTTTCTAGTCTTTGTTGCTTTTGGTCTTTTTTTGTTTTGGTTCATCTTTTCTCCCCTCAGATAATCCCACTTAAAATTTCTTGCAGGGCTGGTTTGGTAGTCGCAAACTTCTTTATTTTTCATTTGTCTGGGAAACTCTTTATCTCTCCTTCTATTTTGAATGACAGTCTTGCTGGATAAAGAATTCCTGGCTGCATATTTTTCTGATTCAGCACATTGAATATATCCTGCCACTCCTTATTGGCCTGCCAACTTTCTGTGGATAAGTCTGCTGAGAACCAGATCTGGCTTCCCATGTAGGTTAATGACTTTTTTCCCTTGCTGATTTCATAATTCTTTCCTCGTCTGTGTATTTTGTGATTTGATTATGATAAGCCTTGTTGATCTTTGATTTTTGTTGAATCTAATGGGAGTTCTCTGTGCTTCCTGTATTTTGATGTCTGTGTCTTTCCCTAGGTTAGGAAAGTTTTCTGCAATGATTTGTTCACATAAATTTTCTACCCCTTTTTCTCTCTCATCTACTGGGGCCCCTATTATTCAGATGTTTTTCCTCTTTAATAAGTCTCTGAGTTCTCTAAATCTTATATCATACTCTTTTGCCTTCGTTTCCCTCTTTTTTTTTTCCTGCTTCATTATTCAACAGAAGTTTGTCCTCTACATCGCTGATTTGCTACTCTGCTTCATCCATCCTTGCCGCCGTGGCAACCTTTTGAGATGTATCTCAGTTCTAGCATTTTTAATTTAGTACTGACAAATTTTAATTCTTTTATCTCAACAGAAAGGGATTCTATGCTTTTTTAAGCTTCAGCTAGTATTCATAGGATCGAGATTCTAAATTTTGGTTCAGACATTTTGCTTATATCTGTGTTAAGTCCTTGGCTGTCATTGCTTCCTGTTCTTTTTTGGGGGTGAATTCCTTTGTTTAGGAAGAAAAGGATTAATAAAAGAAAAATTAAAAATTAAAAACAATACAAAAATATCACATAAAGGATGTTAGGTCCTAAGTGTGTTTTGGTCTGATTGTTGAAAGGAGCTTGATGTAACAGAGGAAAAGGGGAAAGAAAAGAAAAGAAAAAGAAGGGGAAAAAAGTAGGAAACATTTGAAAATATTTTTTATAAATTTTTTTTCAACTTTTTTTGGGGGGGGGGACAGAGAGAGACAGAGCATGAACGGGGGAGGGGCAGAGAGAGAGGGAGACACAGAATCGGAAACAGGCTCCAGGCTCCGAGCCATCAGCCCAGAGCCTGACGCGGGGCTCGAACTCACAGACTGCGAGATCGTGACCTGTCCGAAGTTGGACGCTTAACCGACTGCGCCACCCAGGCACCCCGAAAATATTTTTTATAAAGAATACAATAAAATTGAATAAAATGAAATTACGAAAGTAAAATAGAGTAAAAATTTACAAAAGAAGTAAAAAATGCAGTAGAAAATTTTAAGGAAAATATTTTTTATAAAAATGGAAAATAAAAATAATTTTTCTTTCTGTACTCAAGAACAAGAAAGGAAGAGAAAAATATTAAATAAATGGATCAGCAAACAGAATGAAATATGAAAGAAATTACATCCAGTTTCCCCTAGAAGTTGAACTCTGGAGCACTTTATAGTCCAGAGAATACACTAAGCAGGTGGAGACACTTGTTGTAGTCCTCTAGAGCTTCGTTAGCGCAGTTGGATGGGGCTTGGTGTAATGGCTCTGTTCTCCACTGTATGGCGCTGCTAGGGTTACTGGTGTGGATCATTGTGGCATGTGTATGCGTGAATGCGCATGCATGGGAGAGGTGTAAATGGCGTCACCCAGGTACCCAGTCTCCAGAATCAGAACTCTGTGCTCTCACCCACGGGCAAACATGCAACTGTCCTTTGTCTCCAGCTTCCATCCACTCCCCACTTCTACACTATCCATGACCAAGCAATCAAGTGGCACCTCCCTTCTGAATTTTATCTCAGATGGAGCTGTGTTTCCAAACTCCTCATTTCTGAGGGCCCTGGGGCTTGAACCCACTCTGACCCTCTGTGGAAGTGTCTTGCCAAGCAATGGCCAGGTGCTGGTGGCTCCTGGGAACGTTTGTGTGGTGGCGCTACTGCAGATGCCCAGAGACTACTACTGCCAACCTGCCCCACAAAATTTTCACGTGATCATGTAACAGCAGTGTCTCAGAGATTATGGCAAATCACAACATACATGTGGTGCCAGACTTCACCACCCTTAACGCCCTTGTTCCAACACCAGCAAATAGCTGTTCTCTGAAGTCCGCTGGGACCTTTTACTGTGGGTAGGCCACACGGCCTCTACCAAATGTCCTCTTATCAGGGTAACCACCTCTCGCCATGTGGCCTGAGGAGCCCTCAGACCTCACTGTCTGCTCCTAGGGATTCGCCCTCCCCACCACAGCATCGCCAAGTATTGAGCTGCAGAGTTTCCAACTCTGTGTTCCCCTGTTTATAGAGTCCCCCTTAATGGTATTGAAACTCTGCTTTATCCTTTCTATGTTTCCTGGTCAGTCCCTTATGGGTGTTTCCACTCTTTCTCTTTCTCTCCAGCTGCTTTTGGGGGGAGTATTTTCCTGTACTCTATCCCCTGTATCTGTCCTTCTCTACACAAGCAAAAACAACTCCCTACCCTCCTTGGGTTCTCTCTCCCCAAATCACCTTTCTGTGCCTCGTACCTGCCAAGTTCTGTGGCTCAAGTTATGCAGATTGTTGTATTAATCCTCAGGTACATTTTCTGGGTGTGCAAAAATGCTTTGGTGCTTATCTACCTATATTTCAGGGTCAAGAGAAGCAGAAAACTTCCATGCTACTCTGCCATCTTGGCCCTTCTCCTGAGTGACCATTTCTAAAGGGATTGTGAGCTTCTTTGTGTTGTGCTTCTCTTATCCTCAAGATTAACTAAAAGTACAGTCTAAACCTATGTGTGTTGAGGAAAACTGGGAGAGATATATGTCCCTTCGGGCAAAATGGGTTTGGACATGGAAAAGCCAATTTCAAGATGGCAGAGCAAGGAGAGTTTCCATAAGTCACATATGACTACTAGAACATATTGGTACAACATGTAAATGTGCTTTGGGAAATGCTAGAATGGATTATGTGAGAAGGACCAAGTAGAAAAGTAGAAAAGGGATAAAGACGCTCCCACTGCTATCCATATATTAAAAGGAATTTTTGCTCCAGGAAAACCAGAAAGGCCTCTGAAGCCTTGGTTACACATAATTTCTATCAGTGCATAATGAATGAATCCAAGGAGAATGTGGTGTTTGACTGGCAGAGGGTTTAAGGATGTGGCTGGGAACTTCCAAGGAAAAGGAGGAGAAATATCTTGAGGGTAGACCAAGACTAGTTCCGAAATCATCTTGAACTTTTACCAAAAAGTGAAACTCACCCCTGTGTTCTTAGAATAGGTAGCAAAAGTGGAGTGCCTGGGAGGCTCAGTCGGTTGAACATCCTACTCTTGGTTTCAGCTCTGGTCATGATCTCATGGTTTGTGGGTTCAACCCTGCATTGGGTTCTGCACTGATGTGTGGAGCCTGCTTCGGATTCTCTTGATCTCTGCCTCTCCCCTGCTCATGCTCTCTCAAATAGATCAATAAATACATTTTAAAGAAAATAATAAAGAAAATTATAGCAAAGATGTTTTCCAAGAAAAAGAGCACTCCAATTTTATAGAAATATGAGAGAACAGAAAATTTTTATTATAATAACAACAAACAAATAATTCAACTGGGAGGGGGCGGTATGTGCAGTAAGTAATAAAGGTCTGAGGTGATGGAGGTGAAGTGGCAACAGTTAGTTTCACATGAAAAGGAAAGAACTGGTTATTCAGCAAATATGTTGCATTGAAGTCAGTCAAAGAGTTGCTGTAGATATATCTGAATACAGCAAACAGTTCTCTTCTGTGTTGAATCTCTGTCTTTCAACTGCTCTTTCTGGCATTTCACTTAGTTGAGTTCTGAGAGGTCTATTTTCCAAACAACTCTTTGTTCTTCAGTGGGCAGCTTATAAGGAACAATTTGAATCCTTCTGTAAAACTGTTACTAAATAAATTTCCATTCATCTGGAAAGAATTCTATAAGCATCTCCATCAATAGATTATCCAACACAAAGAACCAATCTTTTTTTTTTATTTTGTATTTATTTATTTAAATTTATTTATTTTTGAGAGACAGAGAGAGACAGAGCACAAGTGGGGGAGGGGCAGAGAGAGAAGGAGACACAGAATCTGAAGCAGGCTCCAGGCTCTGAGCTGTCAGCACAGAGCCCCACGTGGGGCTCGAATTCACAACCATGAGATCATGACCTGATCTCAAGTCGGACACTTAACCGACCAAGCCAGGCAGGCACCCCAAAGAACCAATCTTTCTAACAAACTGTATGGGGAAGGTGATCACTGTGTCCCAAAGGCAAAAACAAGTGAGTAGAAGTCACAAAGGGAGAGGGTACACCAATCTAGAAAGAATCTAGATTTTATTCAGGATAAATAGGTAAAGTTTGGGGTCATCTTCTTAGAAGAGCATCAATACGTTCTACTCTGGAGTTCCACAAATTGAGAATTTGTCCCTCCCCTGTTAAGTCAATCAAATATCTACCAATCGCCAACAGTGAACCTGATTATACCCCTTAGTCTTGAGAGTCTGAGAGACAGAAGGAAGAGTGCTCCAAGGTTGGTGAATGAGTTGGGGGGTGAGGGGTTGGGGAGGGCCAGCACAAAATGGGTAGGAAATAAGGAGATCTTCTCATTCAAGTTAATCTTCCATAAACAGGTGAAAGAAAAAAAACAAAAGCCTTCTTCAGTGCTCCTATGATAAATTCAAGTAGTCAACATTGACTCTCAATTTGATAACTGGAATTTTGTTGCTTTAGGACATAGAAAACCTCTTTCTCTGCCAATTCTCTCTCCATGTTTTGCTTCATTTCTGTCACTCCAGTTTATCTTCCAGCTTTCTGACTTTGTCTTCAAACTCCCTTCTTATCTGCACCCTCTGTCTCTCTAACTCTGCTCTGTAAAGTTTTTGCATCACTTGTATTTGTTTCTGAATTTCCTCTTCGGCCTTTTGGTACATCTTATTCGTGTAGCATCTTCCTTCATGCTCAGCCACCACTCACTGGACTAGGGCCAGCAGCTGGTTTCTCTGGGCCTCCTGCTCAGCTTCTGTCGCCAGATTGTTGAAGATGCAGTAGCGATCACTAAACTTCCCCACCAGCTCTTGGATACCTTCTGGTGTTTCCTTTAAGTATTCATGAAAATTGATGCTATCCAAGTCATCTTTCCGGGTGAATAAGAGAATCATGTATCTCCTAGCTATGAGTCCAAACATTTGCAGGATCTTTTCCATGGCCTTGTGCTCTTCCTGCATGTACTGGCCCAGCGGGACCACCAGGAGCAGAGCATGAGGCCCTGGGGAGGTCAGGAAGATGCAGGGAGCAATCTCCTTGCAGGTGTCAGCATCCTGTGCCTCAGTGTCAAAAATGACAGGCGTATCCACGGCCACAATTTCTCTTCCCTGCCACCTGCTGCTCCCTTTGTTACAGGTCTTGGTGACTGATGTTGCCGCAATGCTGGAATGAAACACTTTCTCTCTGAGGATGCTGTTGCCTGTGGCACTTTTCCCTGCTCCGATCTTACCCCTAAGACAAGTCTCAGCTGTGAAGCTCTTCCATCTTGGTCTCTAAGCCCTGGTACATCAAGAAACAAAAGCCACAGCATTAGGATGGACCTCCAGCTGATTCCTTATAGGGGCCCCCATTTCCCCTCACACACACCCCTCCTCTGTTGCCCCAGGGTCCCCTCCCATAAGTGACTGCTGCACTCCCAGGAACTCTATAGAAGGCTTCTAAAGAAGCCTATTCGAAGTCTATAGAAAGCCTGAAGTTCTCTTGCAATACTTGGGGAATGCCCAAGTACTTTCCAGGATTTCCTGGAGCTTCTAACTCTTCCTGGGTAAGAGATTTTTCTGTGGGCTCTAAGTAGCTCACAGAAGATGAAACAAAATACTGTAGTTTAAGAAGAGAATTCTGAGCTGCTGCTGCTGGTAGTTGTTCCTCATAAGAGCAATGCAGCAAGTAACACAAAATTTGACTTGGTGGCATCTCAGTGGGAGACCCCTGCCACACCATTTTTATTCAAAATGGAAATTTTCTTCTGCCATTAAGAAGCCAGCCATGGGGGTTACACAGGCCAACACAACCTTGCAGGGCACAAAAGGGATGCTTGTGTGGAAAGACAAAGTGTCTTTTTCTATTTCGTGTGTGCAACCACCCTGTCAGGGATTGTGACATGAGAGAGAACAATATAATTTATATTTAAAGTTAAAAACCTTAACTTAGAATCCAGTGAAGCTTTTATATTCTAAATTAAGACATTAAAGAATTATAGCCAGAAAATACCGACATTTCTCTAAGATTATTACAAAATCTCTTGATACACAAAAAATTAAAGAAACGGAGCACCTGGGTGGCTCAGTCGACTGAGCATTGGACTCTTGATATCGGCTCAGGACACGATCCCAGAATTTTTGGGTTGAGTCCCACATCAGGCTGCATGCTGAGCATGAAGTCTGCTTAAGATTATCTCTCTCTTTCTCTGTCTCCCTCTTCCTCTCTTCTCCGTCTCTGTTTCTTAAAAATATGGAGGGGCACCTGAATGGGTCTGTCAGTTGAGTGCTGGACTTCTACTCAGGTCATGATCCCACTATTTATGGGTTCCAGTCTAGCTTTGGGCTCTGTGCTGACATCTCAGAGCCTGGTGCCTGTATCCAATTCTGCATGTCCCTCTCCTTCTTTTTGCCCTTCCCATGCTCATTCTCTCTCTCTCTCTCTCTCTCTCTCTCTCTCTCTTTCTCTCTCTCTCTCACATACACACACACACACACACACACACACACACAAATGAATAATTTTTTTAATTTTTAATGAAAGAAAAAACGGATACAGTTGAGTGCATTAGTAGAGTTATACTTTCTTAGCTTCACTAGATTAAGCATATTCTACTTCCTAGGACAGTTGACAGGTAATCCCAGCTCAGCATAACAATTCTCACATTTTTCAGAATAACTGTGCCTTAAGTTAAACAACAAATCATCTATATAGCTCTTCTGCATTTCTTTTCAGTAATTCATTGCATATCTCTTCACTGTCTCTATATGGTCCCCATCTTCAGGATTTATAAAGCACAGAACCGCCCTCGACCAGGTGGAAGGTAAGTGTGAATCATATTTGAAAGCCTGTTTCTCCAAGGAGGCATACCCTGCCAGAACAGCCCTTGAGTGAGGCTGATTCCTGAATGGGAATCCTGTATTATACCCATCCATCTCTCCGTGAACATAATGCATATGTTATGACACTCACAACATTAGAGACACTACTATAAACTGCATTTATTTGTCAGAGACACCAACAGCATTGATCCAGTCCCTTAGACCCAAAATCTAGCAACTGCCCTCGATTCTTCCCTTCCCTTCCCTTCCCTTGCTTTCCCTTTCCTTTCCATATCAGCACATTCTCTGATCTCCACCTACAAATCTGTCTACTTTTCTCTCTCCACTTTGAAGGCCACCACACTAGCTCCCACTACCATCAGAATCCAGACCTCCAGAGTCTCCCAGCTGGTCTCTCTGCTTCCATTTACTCTGTCAATTGGAATACTCTTTTTAAAATGCCAATGGAGCAGAGAAGAGATATTGCAGAAGCTCCAGCTCTGGGTTCCACAAAATCTGTAGTTGGTCCCCACCTCCTTCCAAGGATTAGCAAAACCATCCCCAATGCAGAGTCCACACATGATAACCAGATCCCTGGCCTGAGACAGGTAGATTTCCAGAAACCGAGAACACTGAATACAGAATGGCTAAGATTATCAAAGGAAACATGTGGATGGGAGTTCAGATTATCATTTAGTTAGCATCCCTATGCAAGACTCCAACTTTGGGACAGCCTGAGGGCATCTCCCTAGCGAAGAGGAGTAGGGAAATCACGGGAGGAGAAACAGAAAGGCGTTTTACCCAGAGAGAGTGGACAGGGTGGACAGGAAAGAAAAAGCAGAGGAGATGAAGAGGAGATCAGATACAGAGGTGGAAACATTTTGCTCCAGCCGGATGAGGGTTGGCTGTCAGCACAAGAAGACCCCTCTGCTCGCTGTCCTCCCTCAGCCCAGCCCAGGAGGACTGGATCTCACTGATCTCACCGCAGCTGCTCCTGGGGTCACCGGGGCTGCAGCACAGACCTCTGTTAGATGTTGCCATTCAATGTGAATTCCTGCCATAGAGAAACATAATGTGTGGTTTTAGGGAGGTGGACAGTACTGGAAGCCTCAACCTCGTGTAGCCAACAGTTTCTTCTCTTCTGCACACTTGCCACTTGGTTTCCCTGCCCTATTTCCCAAGGCTTCTCTGCTCTCCACATTTGGGCTCATCTTCAGATTGTTCCCTTTTCTCCACACAATCATGCACTTCCGGTGGTCTGTTAGCACTCCTTCAGGGTGGCCTTCCCCTGGGATACTGAGGATTTACTGACAGACCCCTTCCACTCCCCTTAAGAAGCCAGACTTGCCTAAACACCGCATTCCTTGCTAATAAATTCCTTTCTTTGTCTTCTCTTTTAATGCCCTCTCCCTGCCTTTAAAGACCTTTCTTCTGTAGCTCAGTGGAGAGCCCCCCTATTTGCAGGATGAGATGCTGCCTGATTCATGAATCTTCCATAAAACCAATTTTCTTCCTGAATAGTGTTTCCTAACAAAATTACTGGAGAAAACTTTGACAAGGACGGGCTGAAAATGCTAGTTGTTCAGGACAGGCTCCTCTGACGGGAAGTTGTTGCATTCACACGACTCCTGAAACAGAATGCTACGGGCACCAGTGACACTCACAACAAAGTTTATTGCAATGAGAGTCAAGGCCAACCGATTGGGACCAACACTCTTTATCAGAGTGCGGCTTCGAACAGCCGGGGTACAGAGTTTTTATAGCCGATTACATCGTTTTATCATCACCTGGGAACAAAACAGAGAAATAGTTCCCAGATGAGTTAGAAACAGTTCCCAGATGAGTTAGAAACAGTTCCCGGATGAGGTGATTATTTTAGACTTTCTGCCATTAAGTTGCAACCAGTGGATCTCCTTGACCCTGCCTCTGATGCTCTTTTCTTTGAACTTTTGTTTCCTTCATTGGGAAGCCTAATTTACAAGAGTAAAGCAAGGCTGTTATCTCTTAACCTTCAGTGTCAGAACAAAGCTGTTATTTTTCAAGCTACAGTGTCAACACAAAGCTGTTATCTCTCAAGCTACACGTTAGCCCTACACTACAATTTCACCCTTACAAAGTCATCAAAACACATCAAAACACATCAAAATGTACAACACTGTGAGCAAGACAGACTTCTCTTGTAAGAAGAGTTCTTTGTTTATCCTTTTAGGACAGGGAATAGGAAAGAGCTTCTTGTAAAGGGAGAAGAGAAATCACAGAATTTTTAAAAAACCATCTTTGGACACAAGTTGGTGTTGGTGATGGGTGTTAGGGAGGGGGAGGATAACAGAAATACCGAAACAAAAGTTATCTGGGTGTTTCTTAAGGTCCTTCTTCCAGCTTGTGGGCTCTCTCTTCATTCTGGAGTGCTGTGCTGTGTATCCCAGCTCAGATGTCAAATCAAAAGACTGCACTTCTGGACATCCGGATGGCCAACAGGCACATGAAAAGATGCTCAACATCGCTCCTCATCAGGGAAATACAAATCAAAACCACACTCAGATATCACCTCACGCCAGTCAGAGTGGCCAAAATGAACAAATCAGGAGACTATAGATGCTGAAGAGGATGTGGAGAAAGGGGAACTCTCTTGCACTGTTGGTGGGAATGCAAATTAGTGCAGCCACTCTGGAAAGCAGTGTGGAGGTTCCTCAGAAAATTAAAAATAGACCTACCCTATGACCCAGCAATAGCACTGCTAGGAATTTACCCAAGGAATACAGGAGTACTGATGCATAGGGGCACTTGTACCCCAATGTTTATAGCAGCACTCTCAACAATAGCCAAATTATGGAAAGAACCTAAATGTCCATCAACTGATGAATGGATAAAGAAATTGTGGTTTATATACACAATGGAGTACTACATGGCAATGAGAAAGAAGGAAATATGGCCCTTTGTAGCCACGTGGATGGAACTGGAGAGTGTGATGCTAAGTGAAATAAGCCATACAGAGAAAGACAGATACCATATGTTTTCACTGTTATGTGTATCCTGAGAAACTTAACGGAAACCCATGGGGGAGGGGAAGGAAAAAAAAAAAAGAGGTTAGAGTGGGAGAGAGCCAAAGCATAAGAGACTCTTAAAAACTGAGAACAAACTGAGGGTTGATGGGGGGTGAGAAGGAGGGGAGAGTGGGTGATGGTTATTGAGGAGGGCACCTTTTGGGATGAGCACTGGGTGTTGTATGGAAACCAATCTGACAATAAATTTTATATATTGAAAAAAAAGACTGCACTTCTGACAACACAAAGAAATAAAAGGCATCCAAATTGGCCAAGAGGAGGTCAAACTTACACTCTTCGCAGATGACATGATACTCTATATGGAAAACCCAAAAGATTCCATGAAAAAACTGCTAGAACTGATCGATGAATTCAGCTAAGTTGCAGGATATAAAATCAATGAACAGAAATTGGTTGCATTCCTATACACCAATAATGAAGAACAGAAAGAGAAATCAAGGAATTGATCCCATTTACCATTACACCAAAAACCATAAAATACCTAGGAATAAATCCAACCAAAGAGGTGAAAATCTGTACACTGAAAACTAGAAAGTTTATGAAAAATGGAAAAAGATTTCATGCTCCTGGATAGGAAGAACAAATATTGTTGAAATGTCAATACTACCCAAAGCAATCTACATATTCAATTCAATACCTATTAAAATAACACCATCATTCCTCACAGAGCTAGAACAAACAATCCTAAAATTTGTATGGAACTAGAAAAGACCCTGAATAGCCAAATGAATCTTGAAAAAGAAAACCAAAGCTGGAGGCATCACACTCCCAGACTTCAAGCTGTATTACAAACCTGTAATCATCAAGACAGTATGGTATTGGCACAAAAACAGACACTCAAATCAATGGAACAGAATAAAGAACCCAGAAATGGACCCACAAACGTATGGTCAACTGAACTTTGACAAAGCAGGAAAGAATATCCAATGGAATAAAGATAGTCTTGTCAGCAAGTGATGCTGGGAAAACTGAACAGCGACATGCAGAAAAATGAACCTAGACCACTTTCTTACACCATACACAAAAGTAAACTCAAAATGTATGAAAGACCTAAATGTAAGACAGGAAACCATCAAAATACTCAAGGAGAATGCAGGCAAAAAAAAAAAAAACCTCTTTGACCTTGGCTGCAGCAACTTTACTCAACACGTCTCTAGAGGCAAGGGAAACAAAAGCAAAAGTGACCTATTAGGACCTCATCAAAATAAAAAATCTTCTGCACAGCAAAGCAAACAATCATCCAAAGTAAAAGGCAACTGACAGAACGGGAGAATATATTTGCAAATGACATATCAGATAAAGGGTTATAATCCAAAATCTATAAAGAACTTATCAAATTCAACACCCCCCCCAAAAAAAATAATAATCCAGTGAATAAATGGACAAAAGACATGAATAGACACTTCTCCAAAGAAGACATCCAGATGGCCAACTGACACATGAAAAAAAATGCTCAACATCACTCATCATCAGGAAAATACAAATCAAAACCACAGTGAGACAGCACCTCATACCTGTCAGAATGGCTAACATTAACAAATCAGGCAACAATAGATGTTGGTGAGGATGTGTAGAAAGAGGATCTCTTTTGCACTGCTGGTGGGAATGAAAACTGGTGCAGCCACTCTGGAAAACAGTATAGAGGTTCCTCAAAAAATTAAAAATAAAACTACCCTATGACCCAGCAGTTGCACTGCTAGGTATTTAGCCAAGGGATACAGGTGTGCTGTTTTGAAGGGGCACATGTACCCCAGTGTTTATAGCAGCACTATTAACAATAGCCAAAGTATGGAAAGAGCCCAAAGTATGGAAAGAGCCCATATCAATGGATGAATGGATAAAGAAGATGTGGTATATATATGCAATGGAGTATTACAAGCAATCAAAAAGGATGAAACCTTGCCATTTGAAACTATGTGGTTGGAGCTAGAGGGTATTCTGCTAGGTGAAATTAGTCAGAGAAAGACCAATATCATATGACTTCACTCATATGAGAACTTTAAGACACAAAAAAGATGAACATAAGGGAAGGGAAGCACAACTAATATAAAAACAGGGAGGGGGACAAAACATAAGAGACTCTTAAATATGGAGAACAAACAGAGGGTTCCTGGAGGGGTTGTGGGAGGGGAGATGGGCTAAATGGGTAAGGGGCATTAAGAAATATACTCCGGAAAACATTGTTTTAAATATGCTAACTAACTAAGAGGTAAATTAAAAAATAAATAAATCATTAAAAAGAAAGAAAGTAAGAAAGCATTCACACCTTAGTACATACTAAAACTGTAGCCCATCAAAGCAGAAAGACTATCTTAAAGGGAGTCAGAAAGAACAGACAGATGACATTTGAGGAAGGGATATTTGGAGTTATACTTTTTTTTTTTATTTAGAGAGATATAGCATGAGCTGGAAGGAGCAAAGAGAAAGAGAACCCCAAGCAGGCTCTGTGCTGTCAGTGAGCCCAATGTAGGGCTTGATCTCAAGAACTGTGAGATCATGACCTGAGCGCAGAACAAGAGCTGAACGCTTAACTCACTGAGCCACCCTAGCATCCCTGATTTTTTTAAGTAAGCTCTACATCGAACATGGGGCTCGAACCCATGACCCTGAGAGCAAGAGTCAGGCACTATATCAACTGAGCCAGGCAAAGTAACAGAGGAAGCCAAGAAACAGTGGAGGCAGATTTTCAGTGTGCTGAGAGAAAATGACAGCCAACCTGAAATCCTAGACTCAGAATCACTGTCAAAAATAAGGACAAAATACATGTACACATTTCAGGTAACAGAGACTGAGAGTTCTTGCCAACAGCACAATCTCATTAGAGGAAATTGTAAAGAATGTATCTGAGGCAAAAGGAAAGTAATCCAGATAGTAAGTCACAGATGAAAGAAAAAAAAAGTAAGTTTAAATGAATGCAAACTATGTAAAATAATACTAATGCTTCATAAAGTTTGAAAGGGGGGGGAATGAGAAAATTAAATATTCAACAATAACAATATATAGATTGGGGTTAAGGGTGGGAATGGAATTAAAATGTTCTAATTTGTTGTATACGAAGAAGATTAAAATATAGATTTCTTGAGATTTTGAGAAGTTAAGAATGTATGTTGCAATCACTGGGCGATTTCAGGAAAAGCATAGATAATTTCCAAACCAGTAGAGAAAAACATAAAATGTGGGGGGAAAAAAACTAAATAATTCAAGTTAAACCACAAAGAGGAAGGGGAAGAAAGAGAAATATGGAACTGGTTGGACACATAGAAAGTAAAAAATAAAACTTCATGCATCCCAATAGGTCACAAGTTTTAATTATGATAAATGCACTAAAGTTTTCAGTTAAAAAAAAAATAAAGAGTTTTGGAGGGGACTGAAGAAGAAATTCAAGTCAAACGCGTTAAGTGAGGGAAAACTTGAAAGCAACAGTATAGGTAAACCTACAAGCAAATTCGAAACAAATAAGAACAGAATATCAAACTACATAGAATTTTCATTCAATAATTATCAAGAGCTTATCATGTGCCAGGCACTGTTCTGGGCAACTGAATACATCAGCAATGAGAGCTGGTAAGGATCCTTGCCTTTCTGAATCATTTAGTGGTCTTTGAAGGAGCAGAAAATGAACAAAAATTTGTAAGTTACAAAAGATATGAGATGTTCCCTTGTATAAGAAGGAAAATCACAGAGGAGGGTAAAGAGAGGAGAGATCAGAGAAGATGAGTTGAACGCACACCACGGTCTCGAAACACCTGCCCTGCTCATGTAAGTAGTGTAAGTAGTCCCATTCATCAAGATAAAACACGGTTTTACAATGTTATGCACCACAAAGGGAGGCATCACATGTATAAAGGGAATAATTGAATCACAAGAGGAAATAGACAAATCTCCATGTATGGTGATAGATTTTAACACACATCTCTCATTTCTAGAACAGGAAGATAGAAAAAAATCAAAAAGTAGTCAGAAGATTTAGGCAACATGACTAATAAGTCTGATCTAATGAGCATATGTAGACTATTTCAGAAAACTTCCAGCCAGCTGTTTTCAAGTACATAGGAAACATTTATTATCATTACTCTTACATTTATCCAAGAAGAAATGCTTAAAATTTTTATAGTATTGAAATAATATAGACATGGGGCGCCTGGGTGGCGCAGTCGGTTAAGCGTCCGACTTCAGCCAGGTCACGATCTCGCGGTCCGTGAGTTCGAGCCCCGCGTCGGGCTCTGGGCTGATGGCTCGGAGCCTGGAGCCTGTTTCCGATTCTGTGTCTCCCTCTCTCTCTGCCCCTCCCCCGTTCATGCTCTGTCTCTCTCTGTCCCAAAAATAAATAAAAAAACATTGAAAAAAATTAAAAAAAAAAAAAGAAATAATATAGACATTTCCTCACCACAATGTAATTAAAAGAAAAGTAAATAAAATGTCATATGTTTAGCAATTGGAGAACACAGTTTTAAATAACTGATGGGTCAAAAGAGACAAAACCAGAAACTGATCAATATTTGGAATGAAGTGTAATTAAATAACTGCATTTCAAAGCTTATGAAAAATTAAAATTGAGTTTTCAGTGTGCCTATTAGGAAAGAGAAAGATTTAAAATTAATTAGCAAAATACATATCTGCTTCTGATTCTGTGTCACCCTCTCTCTCTGCTGCTCCCCCGCTCATGCTCTGTCTCTCCCTCTCTCTCTCTCTCAAAAATAAATAAGCACTTAAAAAAATTTTAATTTCACTGAAGTGTAAAGCTTCTACTGTCCCTGGCATATGCCGCTCCCTGAGAAGAACCTGCAGTGTAGACAGGGCTGCTTAGAGCTCTCGCCAACCTGCCCTTCTCCTCCTGTCCTTGCCTTGGCTCTGATTGCTCATGGGCTGGGGGAAAAGAGGCAGGAACACTGAAGACCAGTCAGGTGTAGTCTGGCCTTGGTGGGGGTGGGGGATGGTGGCAGCATACTTAGTGGCTCTTCCCCCGCCCAGGAGACCTTTAATGAGTCTTTAGAGAGTCTTCCCTGGGAATCTGCAATCACAAGTCCAACAAACAGCCACTCTCTCCCCTCCCGTCGGTTGCTTCAATGAATGTTCCTGGTGCCTGGACTTCCAGAGCTCTGGTCCACACAGAAGCTGTTGGGATCCCTGCTGGGCCCCTGGGCAAGTCCCCTTCAAACTGGCTTTGGCTGCCTCCCTACTGTGTGGCCCACATTTGACATGAGGAACCTAGCTTTTGCCACCCCCCGCCCCTTAGTGAAAGTTTTGACTGCTTCCAAGACAGCCACCACCGTGTGGACCCTGGTCCCTTCACAGAACACAGCAATAGCCTTCATGTATCCCATGGGACCAGCAGGGAGCAAAGCCAAACTCCAAAGGACACACATCAAATCTCTTAACATACACCACCCACATCCCTCTGGCAGCATCAAAGTCCTGAGGCCACTTTACTGGCTTTCGGGAAGTGGGAACCTCCATCTCGCTGGACATGGCACGCAGAGAGGAGTCCCTGTGGTGCTTCCCTTATATAGTCACACGGTTTCACCTGGGTCACCTTCTGCACTGGGGAGATGGCTGGCTCAGTTGGAAGAGCATGCAACCCTTGACCTCATGGTCATGAGTTGGAGTCCCACATTGGATGTAGATATTACTTAAATAAAACCTAAAAAAAAAAAAAAGTCCTTTCCTCTTGACCCCTTCAAATATCTATGAAATTAGTTGAAGGAATAAATCTCACAAAACTGGTTCTCGCTTCTTCCTTTGGGCATCCTATGTGGATCTTCTGGCATATAGCTTTTGACTGTGGGGTATTGGCAATTAGAAAGATTCAGCTGAAATTGGAGATATTTATGTTAACATCCTGCCACATTTACCCCAAACCTTTCACATAACCTTCGGACCCAGATTTCAAGTTAATGTAGGTCATTTATATTGGACCCTACCTTTGACATCTGATATTCAACTTGTCACAAACCTAACTGAACGCTGTGGCTCCTGACTCTACCCTTCCCCTGAAAATCTTACCTGTCACCCTGAACTTTCCTGTTTCTGAACAGAAGCATGACCATCATACCCATCACCCACATGGACACATCCTACACATCCTTCACAGTAGACTTCACACCTAAATCCTTCCTCAGGTCTTCTTCTATGAATCCTTGTTTAAATTCCCCATCATGAGTCATGACTATCACATATTTCAACAACAGGGATCATGCACACATTAAACGCTGGAAATACCACAGTCTTCAGCACTGAAATAGAACCATCTTCAGAATAAACTGGGACATAAAATATGTTAAGAGAAGTGAGTGAGCAATGTTTCAATTGTCACGTGAAGAGATAATGATTTATTTGATTTACTCGTTTTTTCTCTGGGTATGTGTTACCTTCCAAAATAGAACCTAAGGCTGGGAAAAAAGAAATTAGCTCACGTAAGCTGCACATTCAAACAGCCCTCACACAGGTTAATTGTATTAAGAATGCTTCTGCATATCTCTGAGGGAAAATATCCTTTAAACGGTTCTTAAATGAAAAACCTCAAGACAGGGCATGAATACTTTGCTCCCTAGAGATACTATCACACAGATGAGTCACTTACAAGGAAGTACTTTTGAACATAAGAATTGCATGATGGCAGAGAGTACTTTTGTCTTGCTGTATCATTTGACACATGTTTTCTCATAAGAGGATTTTTCTTCCGTGTTGTTTTTACTGCATTCTGAATACTTCTGATGAATCTTAGAAAGAACAGGTATTTAGAATCTTAAGTTTTCCAGACTCAGTCTCTAATCTGTCTCCCTAATATTCACTCATTGGTAAATATTCTCAGTCATGTTCACAGACAAAAAAAAAGGACGACTGTAAAAATTCTAATAATCTGGATTTGGAGTGTCTGCAATCCTCATGAGTGACAGAAAGTCAGCCATCTAACTGAATTTTCTCTATTATTTTAGCAAGACAGAACCTTTCATCTACTCACTGCAAATGTCACACCATGGAAGGGTAAGGAGAGATATTTCTGGTGGAAGAAAACAAACACTAGAGGGAATTTTAAGCCATCAACAACAATAAAGACGTTCTGAAAGAGAAGTGGGCATCATAAGATTTATCAGTCAGATTCTAGCAAGAAAAAGGTGGTCTTCTCTCATTAGGTACTTGGAGAAAGTTTAGAGAAAGAGCATCTTACAAGCTGTAGACACAGGGAATTTGCAAATCACAAGGGACATTACTAGTATTGGTGAAAAATTACAACCCAAACCTGAGAGAGTGAACAAATACTGGAACACAGAAGGAGAGTTGGGTACAAAGGCCACCAAGGGAGGAGCTATGACCTTTGGCATAGAACTGCAGCTAGTCAGAGATGGCCCTGCAGAGATACAGGTGGGAGAATGGATACCCCAGCCTTGCTTTTCTACTTCCACAGGGCCTCTGACTTGGACTTTCCATTGGCCAGCCAGGCAGAAGTCAGAGAGCAAGAGATCCCACCAATGCAGTGCATATATATCAGCCTCATGGGGCAAAAAGCCAAGGTGAAGTGTGATTCTGCAGAGGCAAATGAAAAATATGTGGCCCAGATGGGGATTTTTCGGATACAATTGGAGACATCTTAAGTTAGGATGGTCCCTAAAAAAAGAAAAGAGAGAAACACAGTAAAAGAAACCTGTGACTTTCAGGTCTCCATGAACCACAGAACAATCTTTCCAGAGAAACCAAATACCTCCCTAACATAGGACTTGTGGCCATGCGGTGCAACGACACATGTGACCAGTGGTTCAGACACTTAACGTGCGCAGGATTTCCGATTTGAATTTTACTGGGTCTTTGAACTCTATATGCCATTGCCTGATTATGCCAACTTTGTGTGAAGAGGGACAGGTGGGAAGGGGAGGCGGTGGGGAGTGAGAGCTGGGAAGAGGCTTTATTCTAGTTAGTTCTCGCTGCATAACAAACCATTCGGAAGCTCAGTGGTTAAAAACAAAACCATCATTTATTTGTTCTCATAAAGCTGCAATTTGGGCAGGACTCAATGGGAATGGATCATCTTTGCTTTCTGCAACTTGGCCTGAGATGGCGGGGCATCCGGAGGGCCCAATTCCTGGACAGCCAGAGTTGCCTCATTTGCATGGTGGGCAAGTTGGTGTGAGTCACAAATGAAAGGTGAGCTGGGAAGTGGGCCAGTGACTTCAGGCCCTCTGCATGGGGGCCTCTCAAGAGAGAGCCTGGGCTTTCTCACAACATGACAGTCAAGTTCCAAGGGCAAGAACCCCAACAGGGCAAGGAAGCATTGCCCATATGTAACCTTAGAGTACAAGGTGTTGCTTCAACCATCTGCTATTAATTGAAACAGTCCCAGATCTGCTCAGTTCCAAGGTAGAGGACACAGGCCCCGCAACTCAGTGGCAGGAGTAACAGGGTCAGGTTATAGGAAGAATAAGTAGAAGCTACTGTCACAGCTGTCTATGGAAACTACAATCTACCACTATCGGAAATCATCATAAATTCAGAAGAAAAAATGAAATGGACTTTACTACCAAAACATATACCATATTTTTGGAAGCACCCACATAATCACATTTAAAACATGTTCAAATATGCCCTTCTCAGCTTCTTCCCTGATATTTTTTGTTTGTTCAGCATACTTCCTCTTTAGAGATTTTATTTTTTCCTCCCGTTCTTCCTGTGATTTATGAGCATATTCCTTTTCTACTAGTTTAATTTCATTATTTAACTGATCAGTGTAGATCTTCCTCAGGACTTTTGCCTGTTGCTTCAGCCTCTTTTCTGTGTCCTTGTAAATGGCATCAGTAAAGTAAGCCCCTCTATTGCTCTGCACCATCTCCTCTATCAGCTCCACCAGCTCCTGCACTTGAGTTGTTGAAGGCACAGTAGTGGTTCCCACACTCGCTGATGATGTTTCTTAGTTTCACATCTGCATCTGCTAAGAAGTCACTCAGGCTCTTCTCCTCCAAGTTATCTTTGCGAGTGAACAATATGATCATGTGCTTCAAGGCTGGCTTCCCAAAGAAAGCCTTGATCAATGCCACGGTGTTCTGCTCTTCATCTGTGTAGCGGCCCAGCTGTAGGACCAACACGATGGCATGGGGCCCAGGGCAGGAGTAGAGGACACACTGGCTGATTTCCCTGCATGTGGTATCCAGGGTCTCCTTGGTGTCAAAGAGCCCTGGGGTATAAACAACAACAAGTTTCCTCCCCTTCCATTCCTGGGATGCTCTTTGACAGCTGGAGGGGACAGCATGGGGAGCAACTCTAGACTCAAAGACTCTACTCCCCAGGATGGTGTTTGCCGTTGCGCTCTTCCCACTTCCAGTTTTCCCCACTAGTACAATCCTCAGAGTGTTGTCCTGAGGGTATGCCATGTCACTACCAGGAGCCTCTGGGGCATAAAAAAGGGAAGGAGAAGAAAAAGAGTCAACGGAGGTAAGTGGAAACCATCACCTCACCCTTATGACCTTGGTGTTCCTCCCTGAAATCCTGCAGTAGTCTACTATCCGTGTTGGTCCCATAAATACAGAAAGATGAAACAATTCAATCACCATGGGAGAAACAACAAAGTAGTTAAAGAGTTCCCCTACAAAAGAGTACCAGGCCCAGATGGTTTCATGGGTCTCATTTAAACCTTTCTTAAACTATTCCTGATGACTTAAAACAGAAGGAAACCTTTCCAATTCTTTCTATGACACAAGTATGATATTGATCCCAAAGGTTAACAAAGATTTCACCAATAAATAAAGCTACAGACATGTCTCATTTGCGAATACTAATGCAAAAATCCCAAATAAATTGTCAGACACTAACAAGTAATACCCCAAAATTACATGTGATTTATTTCAGAAATACTAGGATGGTTCAATATGAGAAAATGGATTGTTACAACACATCTCTAGTAGTACACTAAGAAGAAAAATACCTCGATGCAGAAGAGACAATTCCCCACATTCAACACTGATTTAATAGATACTTCTTTAACGTGATTTTATATAAATATAAGTTAAAAATTTTTGTCACCACTTTTTTCCCTGCAGCTAAAATAGTTGACTATTACGTTCATTTGGATGAATGAAGAAAGAAAATTAGCCTGTAGAGTCAAAAAACAGAAGAACGATGAGGGAGGACTAGTTCTACCATATAGTAAAATATTTTAGCCCCTATAATTAAGGCAGTAGGACGTGTGTGTGAACAGAGACAGAACGGAAAACAAAAACAGACAATTCAGAAATAGACCAAATTGGTCTACTATATTCATGAGTATCCAGTTCAATTGTATTATGTTACATTTATCTTCCGTGAGGCATCTGTGAGCATCTCACAGCAATGGGGGAAAGATGGACTAATAACCAGCATTGGGATAACTACAAACCACACAGAAAAAGACAAAACTGCACCCACGTCTTCATGCTATTCACATACTAAATACATTAGAAATAAAAAACACTAAAAAGCAATCCACATAAATACTAGAAGAAACTCAGACATAGCCTTTGTAACCTAGGGGCAGGGCAACTCTTTCTAAGATTTGAAAGATTGTAAGGAAAAGGATTCATACATCTGACTACATAAAAATCTAAAAGACAGTGGGAGACAATGAACACCACAGACAATTAAAATATGAATGTCAGACTATATCAAAGAGGGTTAATTCTCCACTTATACAAAGAATACCTAAAAGTAGAGAGACAAAAGTCCAATACCTCGATAGAAAGTGGAGCAAGACATAGGAATAAACAGTTCAAAGAAAAAAAGAAATGCCAATGCTCCTCAACTATGTAAACATATATGAACACTCACTTAAATTAGAGAAAAATAAATCCAACATCGGAAAAGAAAAAAACTAAATACAACAAATTAAAATTACACTGAGATTCTATTTCTCCACTTACAGATTTGGCAAAAGTCCAAAAATTTGCTGCTATAATCAGTCGGTAAAGGTTTAGAGGAAACAGGTTTTCTCCTCCATGGCTAATGAGAATAGAAAAACAGTCTAAAACCTACAAAAGAGAAATTAGCAATATCATACAAATTACATATACATTTATTCTTGGACTGTGAGTCCCAATTTTAGGATTTATGCCTGTAGTGCACAAGGGCAGGTCACCCCTAAACGTGCAACTTTGGCATACTATTTCATACAAAAGTAACTTAAGATACAGCCTGTGTGGCAAGATTAGTAAGACCCTCTTCTGTCCCCGTGCAAGCAGGAAACAAATCTCCCATGTAAAAGGTGCCCTTCCTGTCCCAGGAGGTAAAGAGACACCCTTATGACCAGGGATGGGAGATTTAGAGCCAAGAAGACTGTATCAACAGCCCACTACTTTCTAATTTACTACTCCAGCCCAAAGTCTCTTTAGAATTCCTCCCTAACAGATGCTTCCAAAGTTAAGTTTTCCTTGTTTTGTCAATCCCTCACATATCCATCATCTCTTTGCCTAAAAACTATAAAAACTGCCTGCCTTGGTCATTTCTCTTGGTTTTAGTTTCATCACTGAGCATCTGTGCACACTGCTTTTTTTTCTCTTGTTAATCTGCCTCAAGTAAATGTAATTCTTAGTGCAGCTGGAAGACCTTGAAGGGTAGAGGAAGAAGTTTCCCTTTCTTATATCCCACAGCTACACTGACAAAACACAGGAAAAGATTAGGCATATTTTATTCTCTGCGTCACTATTTGTAATACTTAAAGACCAAAAACCTACCAAATGCCCACTAGTAGGGGTCTGATTGAATAAACCAAGGTACATACACACAGAGATGTACTATCCAACTGTAGAAAGGAATAAGAAATACCTCTCTATGCTGGGATGGAGAGATCTCCAGATATTTCATTAAGAAAAAAACAAGGCAAAGCGAAGAAAATAATATTTAGTTTACTGTCATTTCTCTAGTGGGGAGGAATATGAACTGCAGGTACAAAATACAACATATATTTCATGCACATGAAAAAGCGATGGCAGATCATCTGAACTGTCACCAAAGAAGTTACTGACAGAGGGATGGGAGGAATAAGGCGGGGGACAAAGTAGAAGCTGGAAACTACTTTGAATATACTTAGATGTCATAGATTTGTCTTGAAAGCATGTCTTCCTTCTTTTTGAGAGTTCGAATTACAGCTCTTTTCCTTTTTGAAAGACCTACATGTGTACCTGCTGTTGCTGGCTGGCATAAATTCAAAGAGGATTTTTCATTTGTACAAAAAAAAGCTGAACACGAATACAGCGTTCTGCATTTGTTTTACAGCCAGTTGAGATAATGGAGAGGCCGAGTGGGCCATTGTCCATGCCAGCTGCCAATCACCTTACCCGGGAACCTCACACAGGGGTTCACCATCCAGCCACCAGAGCTGTGAGCCAAATGAGCGCGTGGGCTTTCTCTCAATTGAATGTGTGCATCTGTTAACAAGTTGTGTCTAAAAGTATCAGAAACACATAAGGGAGGTTATTTGGGAGAGATCTGGGAATGCGCACCCTTTTTCCATGTACATTGATGGTAATTGCTTCTCTCCTTTATGTCATTTTGTTTCATAAAAGATTTCATAGGAACGTTCTGCTTGCAGATAGTGAGGAACATCTGGAAATTGCTTACATAAGTATAAACAAAAACTATATTTTCAGATAACTAGTAGAAATCAAAAGCAAATGAAATACATAGTATTTGGTGTAATAGACAAACCACACAAAGAATTGGTCCAAGAAACTTGAAAATGCAGTTGCTTCATTGGCTATTGTCCTAATGGGATATAGTGTAAGGCCAAATAGGGGGAAAAAACGTCAAGAAAATCTTAAATTGTTTTCAGGAATCCTGTCCTATTCTTAGCTTTTTGTGCACATGTGTAGTTTTGAAGCCCAAGGACAAGCCCAGTACCAATGAGCACCCTTAGTGCCCATACTGTGCTCTTCAAATGCCATTTCCCACCAAAAATATTAGGACTCTTAGGAGAAGGTACCGATTCCAGATCTGGGCCAAGAAATGTGCAAGTGGATCTTAGACTATCTAGTCATACTAGAAAGCGAGGATGCTATCAAAAACTACTCAGACCGTGGGACGCCTGGCTAGCTCTGTCAATACAGCATGCATCTCTTGATCCCACGTTCATGAGTTCTAGCCCACATTGGGTGCAGAGATCACTTTCAAAAAAAAAAATGTTTGGATCTTACCGAAGGGAGTACAGGGCCAACTTGAAGAGGCTGACTGGACACAGATGGGGTAATTTGAGTATCAATGAGAATAATAATTTCAATGGATTAAAATTCATCAAATATGTTGAAGTTCATGAATTCACATCAATACCATCATCGCAAAAGAAGTGAAGTGTTCTCTTTGGGGTATGCTAGGAAATGATGTCATCAGTCTGAACATGGACAAAAAAGAATCAAGCATTCCTTTTCTCTTATTAACTACACCTTATGAAATGAAAGTATGATTCAGGGGAAGTTTCTTTTTATAGGATTATGCCATCCAATCAATTAAGAAAGATTGATAGAATTATACTACTATAATTTGCGACCATTAATGAAACAAAGTTACTCTAGGCTATCATTACTGTCTGCTACATTCCAGAAAGAGACAGAAGAATATATAAGGTGTCTTCTGATGGAAGTTTACAACTGCACCTATGAAATATTGCCACCCAACTAACCAGGCAAGCCTTAATCTGATCAAGCCGCTCCTTAAATTTAAATTTATACAAAACATGGAAACTAGAAGAACATGTAATATGATATCTTGAGGATTTAAAGAGCAAAATGTACACTGTCCAATTCTCTTGGAAAAAGGACCGACCGTTTCTTAAACAGAAACATTTTAGAAAAAGAAACAGGAAGGTGAAAACTTATTTATCAAATTAACCTTAAGAGATATGAAAGAATCGCTATTTATGAACCGTATTGGAGCTGGTTTCAATTTTAAAATCTATGAGACAATCTGGGAATTGCAATACACCTGGTAATTTTTAAAAATTCTAATTGCTTTTTGAAATCTGATTATGGTATATTTTAATGACCTTTATCTTCCAGACATAGATATGGACGTATTTACTGATAAAGTGATAAAATTTTTAGTATTCTAGTAATTTAATACCTTTTAGTATCCTAATGTTTAAAGTGTATGTATGTATATATGTATGTATTTAATCTCTACACCCAGCATGGGGCTTGAACTCACAACCCTGAGATCAAGAGTCCCATGCTCTTCCCACTGAGCCAGATAGGCGCCCCCACTCTAATTTTTGAAATGAGGAGATTGATGTGGCTCAGAAATGCTGAGAAAGTTGCCCAAGGTCACTGGGCTAATAGGCTTTGGGCAGAGAAGGGATCCAATGCAAAGTATGTCTGACCTCTACACTCATGCATAACCCTTTGCATGCTCTGGTCTCTTCCTGGTTCCTTCTCAAGTCCTTGAGTCTACATTTCTGTTTACATTGGATCAGAAATAGATCATGGGAGGCCAGGGGAGGTAGTTCACTCTCTGTCCAGAAACATGAACTGGTAGCAACCCTGGAATTAGGGAAGGCAACCAAAGGGCTTCACGCACATTTGTTTTCTATAGAATAGCTCATTCTCTCCCCATGGTATCCCTTCCTTACCTCCTCTGTTACACTGTCGATCACACCATTTCTCTCTTACATGTTGGAAAGGACACAGCCACCTGAATTTTAGACTTCCTGTGCCATTTGTGACCTGGGTATCCCGGGGAATTTCATAAAACCACACGCACACCGTCTAGGATTCAGATTTTTTTTTTTTTTTTCAGGAAAAAAGAGGGATTGGGACAGACTGGTCTCTAAATTGCCTTCCAGCTCTAAAGACCTGCCTTGAGGACACGAGTTTCCCACTAAGGGAAATGGATGGGGTGTCAGGCAGCACTCACTCTGTCATGACAGCAACTGATTGAAGATATGCTGTTCAGCAAGTTTGTCCTGCTAAATAGGAGACATGTGGACATGGGCCACTCAATCTCCTTACTCCCACTCTTTCTCCCCCGGGACCCCTGTGGCAGCATCCTGTTTGCTGGGCTGCTGGCATGGTACTTGGTCCCCTCTCAGACCAGGACCCACACCCTGTGTCCTGCTGCCCCTCCCGGCTCTATTGCCCTAGGCCAGGCTCACCTTCTTTCCAATGAGCTGATGAGTTCCCCAGTGTTCTCCAAAGAAGCTGTTTGAGATGGTGCTTTTGTTTAACTGAGAGGAAAAAGTGTTTGTACCCTTTAAACCTCTGAGGCAGGGAGCTCAGATTGGGTGGACCTAGTGAAGGAACTATTCGTATTTAAAGAGACAGAAATATTACCCTAAATTTGGGTAATGCTTTAGTTTTACCAAGGTGTAAGCTTTTTCTCCATGTGCCTGCTATCACACAAAATTCCCAAAGCTATATTTGTTTTTTGGGGGTTATAGTGGTGGATCCCAAAGGCCCTTATTAAGTGACCCAAATCATGCACACAGAGCCAGGCGTGCTCTCTGATCATCTTCTCTGATGGAGTGGGAGATCCTGGGTTGATTCTGGGAGAAAGGAACTCAGATATGTGGCTAGATGTGTCCAAATTTAGAGCCTGGGATACTTCCCAGTGATTGCATCATATGGGCTTTCATGATGGTCTTTCATGAAGCTATCAAGTTACTCATTAAAAATTTAACAGCGCTCAGGTACAAAGCCTAAAGAGTCTAAACCATTGAGAACCAAGAGTAAAAGAGGAAGATGTAGCCTGGAAAAAGTCATCCAATGAACACACACCTTCTCTAGTTTTCTTCATATGGTTCTCTCAAGCCCAAAAATATGCATAACCTGACCAGAAAAGATGGACCCAGGGAGGAGAATCATCTTTCCCCTAAACCTTCCTACCTTCCCCTACCCCAGACCCAGGCAGAAATAGACTTTTTCAGATTTAGCCAGTACACCCATTCCAACCTGCTCTGGAAACTATGAGATGAGAGGCAGATGGTCAAATCTCTAATGGTTGACCAGTTGTTCCAATTATTTGTTGCATCACTATAAAATTATTATGGTTTTGATTATATATTTTTGTTCATTACTTTGAGACATGGGATTAGCCGATGCTGAAGCTTAAAAGTGGGTACTAAGAAGACTAAATGTGGCAGGAAATAATGTATAATGGGGTGACAACCAATGGAAGGAAGTAGCTACATTTTGAAATTACCGTGTTAATTAGTATATTATTGGTCAATATCATTGGACTACTTATTGGTGTTAATGACTTGGAGGGCCCCAGGTAACTGTTCTCCAACTTGCAATAAAGACACAGACCAGGACCAGCTATGTAATTTGCAGGGTCTGGCACAAAATAAAAATGCCAGGCCCTTTGTCAAAGAGAATCAAACAAACAAACACACATAAACACACACACACACACACACACACACACACACACAACTTAAGAATTTCAAGATAACATCACAGGTTCCTTTACATACCCATGAAGTTGGTCTTGATGAGGCTCCATACATAGAAGTCTAGAGGAGAGCCAGAAACATATGTCCTACTCAAAATATCTCTACCATTGCCTAGTTTCATTTCAATCTATATATTCCTTGAGTGAAACGTGTCCAGCCAGAGCCACCTTGGATATTTTCCTGGTCAGCTAATTGCTTCTCCAGGTATTATCCTCAGGTATGCTGGTAAGTCCCCTAGTGGGAAAGGTAGAGTAGTTGACACAGAATCCATGGATGCCACAGGAAATCAGATGTGGGTCTCAAATGGTAACAGTCTTGCGATCATTGGTTAAAGAGGAGCATGTGGCTCTTATCAGTCCCATGCTGAGCCCTAAGTTATGAGTGATCTCCTTCTAGAAGATATTTGATAGAGCCAGTCTTGCCCCATATCTGCATTGCTCATTTAGCCACGCTCCTCATCATTGAGGGCTTCCTTCCACTTCCTTTTTTTATGTTTTCCTTTTATTATTTCAATCTCACACACACAAAGCAATGTGGATATAATGAATTTTCAAAAAGTTGTGGGGTCATTAAAAGATATTCTTTAAATTCTACAGGAGTCTTCTTGTGGGAATCAGGGAGTTTTCTGCTGCTTAGATCTAGATGGCCTCAAAGCTCAACTTATTAAAACATTGCAGAGATAATAACAGGAGATGAAAAAGAATCGTTCCCTACATTGTCCTGGTTCTTCTACATATCATCTCTATAACCTGGTGAGTCAGTTTTCCATTGTTGCCATAACAAGCTATCAAAACTTTAGTAGCCTAAAACAATATAAAATTAATCTCCAACAATACTGGAAGACAAGAATATGAATTAGTCTTATGGAGATAAAATCAAGGTCCTGCAGAGCTGGTTCTTTCTGGAGGCTCTAGGAGACAATCCATTCCTTGCCTCTTTCATCTTCCAGAAGCTGCCTGCTCTCCTGGGCTTGTGGCCACATCACACCAATCTCTGCTGCCTTCATCACAATGCCTTCGTACCTCTACCTTAGAAGGACATTTCTGATTACATCTTGAGTCTACTCAGATACTTCAGAATTATCTTATCTCAAAATCATTAACTTAATAACATCTGCAAAATACTTATGGAATAAGGTAATATTCACAGGCTCTGGGGATTAGGGTGTGGACATTTCTGGGGCCACCATTCAACCTGCTACATTTGGGTAAGTTAAACTATCTGCAACTCACTTTCCTAATCATTAAAATGGAGTACTTACTTCAGAAGGTCACTGTGAAACCAGACAAAGTCGTACGCGTGAAGTGGTTCTCAGACCATAGTGATCAACAGGTAGTAGTTAGTAGTAATAACAACCCTCAACGCTAGTCTCATAGATTACCATTCTGAGGCTCATCTACACATCATAGATGCTGTCTTAGTCAGCGTGGACCGCCATAATACCACAGCCTGGGAGCAAGAACAACAGGAATTAATCTCTCACAGTTCTGGAGACTGGGCAACCCAAGCCCAATGTGCCAGCCAACTTGTTTCCCTGGGGAAGACTCACTTCCTGATTTGCAGATGACATAGTCTCACTGTGTCCATACATGCTGGAGTGAGGAAGCAACTCTCTGCTATCTCTTCTTACAAGGGCACTAATCCCGTCAAGACGACCCCAGATTCATGAACTCATGGAAACCCACTTACCTTATCCGCAAATACCATCATGTTGCCGGTTAGGGATTCTGGAGCCTTCTCTCTTGGTGCCAAAAAAAACTAGTCACTTCTACTTTGTAACAATATCCTTTAAGTGAATTGTTGGATATCACTCAAGGTTTCCTGGTTTCTCCCCACTCACTCCACCCCCAAAGGGCACTGCATGAAAAGGAAGACTCAGCACCTCCACTGCCTGTCAACCAGGATAAGGGATCTGGATTATCTATACACCTGCACTCACATGTCTTTAATGAAATTGTCTTCTGGCTCCACGGATGTGCAAGAAGAGCTGCCTCTTGCAGAATAATGGCAGCCATGTCACAAAAGAGATATAGGTGTTAGGTGTGACAGTGCACTTGGTGCTGAATCCCTCAGAGGAAACATTGACCAAAACCTCATGAAATAAAGACCATGCCCCCCAAAGAGCCTCTTACTGTCTTCCACGATGTTATATTTGGTTATGAACCACAACCATTAAGTCCTGTTCTCAAATAGGTCTCTGCTTCCTCCTAAGGCTTCTCCGAAGATCTGCCTAAAGTGACCATTCAGAATTTGTGTCTTCACCAGAGGGTCACAAACTTGGAGCTTCAGGGGAAAAACTGTCAGACATGCTCTGAAATACTGTTGCCTCAAAGAGACTCTTCAGAGCAGGTTTCCAAGATGGCAGCACTGATTCAATGCTCAGACTGTGCCAGTGAGATAAGCCAGGACTATTGGGACTCTCAGTCTGGAAGCATATGTACCTCACGAAATCAGACGACTGACTCAAGATCCAGCAGAGTGAGAAATAATGACATAGGACTGAGTGAACAGATTCAAGATGTGCCATTGTGGTTATTTGTTTGGAATATTGATGGCATTCTGTTTAATGTTCTACTTGTATGACTATTTGAAGAAACCTTATTTCTTTCTCCTTAAACTATCTCTAATCCATGATTTAGTAGACTGTTTATTTGTAAACCCATAGCAACCATTTTTCACTGTCATCTGATTTTCATTTAACCTCAGAATTCAGAAACAAACTCTTCTACTGAGTTTCATTCACTTTCATGATGATAGAACCAATTGCATAGGTTTAATAAAAATCTGTCATCTTGTTTACAAAGATACCATTGGAAAAATCGATTCTGCAGCAAGGCCTTATGTACAGTGTGATATTTGAGAGTGATTGTCATTTAATCAAAGACCATCAGACCACTGCTAAGGAGCAATTGTTGGTGTTACATGTGGGGCTAATGTCTCCAAAACCTTCATAAGAAAACTAATATGATGTCTGGCATCCAGGATCCCAGTCTCTCAGGTATTAAGGAAGTCCACTCCCTCGTAGTCCAGAAACCTAGGCAAATTTTGGAGACCTCGGGAAGAGGGAAATTCACTGAGATTTAGGGGTACAGCATGCAAAGTTTACTGGAGAAAGTGTTTGGGCCTTGGTTTCCTACTCCTAGGATAGAAGAATGGCAGGGGCTTTGAAAAGTCTGATTCAAAATTCATTTTGAAAATTTCCAAAGGAAGCTTATCCTTTGGAATTGATAGTTGCTTAATATGATTAGGCTCTAGATTTCCCGAGCAAACTCAAGGAGGCTTTTCTGGTTAATTAAGATTCTTGCTGCATCCGTATAAATAATCAGGCCATGCATAGTAAAAACAATCTTCTAGGATCAACAATACTTGTTGGAAACTGCTTATGATCACAAAGTAGAGAACACTATGAAAATGATCCAGAACTTAGAAATAGGCAAGAGAGATTACTGAAGTGTTCTATTGTTCTGTGTGGTGCTGTGCTTGATGATCAGCTGTGATATTTTACAACACTTTAAAGACAGAGAGAATTTTTGCACATCTCTGCCTTATAGATACTCAACGAATTTTCTGTCTGGTGGAATATAGAACTCAAAAATTACATTTTATTACTACTCTTGAACACATCAGCCCTTGATTTCAAATGAAGTTTGTGTTTCTGTTTGTTTGTGTTTTTTGTTTTATTCTTTGCTTATTTGTTTGTTTTTCACTAGGTTTCACACCCAGCATGGAGCCCAAACTCAAGACCCTAAGGTCAAGACCTGAGCTGAGATCAAGAGTCACACGCTTAACTGATTGAGCCACTCAAAGGAACTTTGATCCAATTATACTATCATACTGGTTCTCTAGTCACGCCATGAATTGAGCAAAATCTTTGATGTGTTTATACTTGCCCAAGAGGCATGATTTTGCTTTTTTTCAAAACTGCACTCAGACAAGTAAGAGAGGGAGAAATAGCATGATTCAAGCCTTGGAGGTGGAAATATACTGGACACAGGCAGAGAACAGCTAACAATTTGGAGTGCAGGAATCATTACCAGCCTTTACTGAGGGCCCACTGTGCCCAGGCACTGGCCTCTCCATCATTATCACCTTCGTTCCTTACAAAAGTGTAAACAGATATTAACGGGAACAATGATATCTAGAAGAATCTCATTCTTGGGAGAGAAGTTGAGACTGATTATAATGACTGTTGTATACCAGGCCAAGGAATGTGGATTCTAAGCCCTAGGCAGTAGAAGATTTCCAAGAAGCAGAGACCTACACAAACTATCCCAATAGGCTTAACCTGGCAACTGCAACTAGGACTGGAGAGGAAGAGATCAGGGGTACTGTACCCTCACACTGCACACACTGTCCCTCTCTTACCATCCATCGTAGGTTGAATTATGTCCTCCTAAAGAAGTCCTAATCCTGGTACCTGAGAATGTGACCTGCTTTGGAGCACGGTCTCTGTGATGTCATGTCATGAAGTTAAGGTTGAGCCCTACTCCAATGCCTGGAATCGTTTCATTCACAGTGAGAGAAGTTTACACAGATACACACAGAGAGCACCATGTGACAAAAGAGGCAGAGATTGGAGCGAAGCACCTAGAGGGCAAAGAACAAAGCAGGCCAGCCAGCACCAGAAGCTAAGAAGCAGCAAAGAAGGATACTTTCCCAGAGACTTCATGGCGAGTATGGCCCTGGGAACATCTCGGTTTGGCACTTGTAGCCTGTGCCAGAGAGACAGTGGCCATAACAATGAGACAGTAAGTTTCTGCTCTTTAAGCAACAGTTTGTGGTCATTTGTTACAGCAGCTCCTGGGGGAACTAATATATTTTAAGGCCAAGAAGTAGGGTCCTGCTCTGGTAATTACCTAAAATGTAGGAGTCGTTTTGAAATTGAGTAATGCATGGAGGCTCTAAATTCTGAGGTACATGATAAAAAGAAAGGCCTAATAGGATGTCGGTGGTAGGATGAATATCCAGGTCACTTTCTGATGAGGTCCCAGAGAGAGGTGGGGACCACGCTTCTGGACATTGGAGGGACGATGGCACTTGCTATAAAATGGCAGGTGGCAGGGGGCAGGGGGCAGGGAGGCACGGAAAGGGATTGTATGCTTTTTCAATCCCAGATAATATTTATATTATCCAGACTCTAAATTCTGGTTGAAACATTTTGCTTATTTGTCTGAAGCATTTCCTCCTGTTCTTTCTTTTGGAGTGAATTCCTTCATTTCTTCATTTTGGATGAAAAAGAAATAATAAAAAAATAAAGATTAAAAGTTAAAAATTTAAAACAACACAACAAAAATCAAATAAAGGATGCTAGTTCCTAGGTGTGTTCTGGTCTGGTTGTTGAAAGAAACTTGATAGAATAGAGAAAAAAAGGGAAAGAAAGGGGGGAAAAGGGAATAAAAAGAAAATGATAATTAAAAAAACGAATACAATAAAATAGAATAGAGTGAAATGCTGAAAGTAAAATGGAATAAAAAATTTTACAAGAAAGTAAAAAAATACAGTAGATATAATTTAAAGAAAAATATTTTTTATAAAATCAGAAAATAAAAATAAATTTTTTCTCTTTCTATATTCAAGTAAGAGAAAAGAAGAAGAAAAAAGAATGAATGGATGGACTAGCGAACAGAATGAAATATGAATGAAATTATATCCAGTTTCCACTAGAAGTCAAACTATGGAGAAACCTATAGTCTGTAAACTAAGGTGGTGGAGAGACTCATGTTCCTCTAGAGCTTGGTTGGCACAGTTGGATAGGGCTTGGTGTGATGGCTCCGTTTACACTAGATGGCACTGCTTAGATTGCTGGGGTAGATCACTGTGGCGCCTGTATCCATGAATGCACATGGGTGGGAGAGGTGTAAATGGTATCACCTACCTACCCAGTCTCTAGCATCAGAACTCTGTGCTCTCACTGACTGGCAATCATGCACCCCTCCTTTGTCCCTGGCTTCTGTCCACTCCCTGCCTCTACACTATCCAGAACCAAGTCATCAGCCTGCCAGGTGGTACCTCCCTTCTGAATTTTATCTCAGATGAGGCTGTGATTCCAAACCCCTCATTTCTGAGGGCCCTGTGGCTTGGACCCACTCTGACCCCCTCAGGGAGTGTCTTGCCAAGACTTGCTTAGGTGCTGGCTGCCCTTGCCCCCAGGAAAATTCGCATGACCATGTTGCTGCTGAAGCCCAGAGACTATGGCCAGGTGCCAAGATTCCCAGAAAAAATTCACGCAATCTTGTAGCAGCAGCATCTAAGAGATTATGGTAAATCACACCACACATCTGGCATCAGGTTTCACTGCCTCCTAACACCCTTGCTCAACACCAACAAATGGCTGTTCTCTAGGGTCTGCTGGGACCTTTGCCTGTGGGGAAGCTGCATAGCCTCTACCAAATGTCCTCTTAACTGGGGAACCACCTCTCCCCATGTGGCCAGAGACCCCTCACCCTTGGACCTTGCTGTCTATTCCTGGGGATTTGCCCTTCCCACCAGAATACCACCAGGCATTGAACTGTATAATTTCCAACTCTGTGCTCCCCTGTTTATAGAGTGGCAATGAACTTTCTTCTTTCTCCTTTCTCTCTTTCTTGTTCAGTCCCTTGTGTGTGTTTCAACTCTTTCTCTGTCTCTCCAGATGCTTTCAGGGAGAATTTTTTCATGTACTCTCCCTGCTGTCTCAATCCTCTTTCCACAAGCAAAAATAATTCCCTAACAACTGAGCCTTCTCTCTCCACCAGTTCACCTCTCCATGCTGCATACCTGTGAAATTCTGTGGCTCAAGTTATGAAGATTGTTATGTTAATCCTCAGATACATTTTCTAGGTGTTAAAAATGCTTTGGTGCTGATCTAGCTGAAATTCAGGGATGAGAGAAGCAGAAAACTTCCAAAACTCTGCCATCTTGGCCCCTTCTCTTAAGTGACTATTTCTAAAAGGATTGTGAGCTTCTTTGCGTTGTGCTTCTCTAATGCTTGAGATTAATTAAAAGTTCAGTCTACACCGGGATTTATTGGTACAACATGGAAATGTACTTTGGGAAACCTTAGAATGGATAATGTGAGAAGTACCCAGGAGAAAAGTAGAAAAGGGGTAGAGACACCTCTTATTGTTATACATATATTAAAGACAATTTTTGCTCCAGGAAAACCAGAAAGGTCTCTGAAGCCTTGGTTACACATAATATCTATCAGGGAATAATTAATGAATCCAAGGAAAAGGTAGTGTTTAACTGGCAGACGGGTTGAGTATGTGGCTGGGAATTTCCAAGGAAAAGGAGGAGAGATGTGCTGAGAGTAAACCAAAACTAGCTCCAAAATCATCTTGAACTTTTACCA